CTACTTGTCTAGGCTGAGATCATGTCTTCTCGGATCTGGGATCCAAGATCTGAAATCCGGGATCTGCAGGATGAGTTCTTCTATACTTGAATGTTATCTCCTTGGGAGCGCTCATGCCCCCTGTCTTTGCATCCCTTCTGGAAGGGTCTTCGTTCTTTCGCAGGTATCTATCCTTCCATACCTGAAGGTCATCTTCGTTGCTTCGATCTGTTGTCTTTGGTGCGTCACCTTCCTCGTCGGCGTCTTTCACTCCGTGACTCTGGTCACGAGTTTCTGTGTTGCGGTTGTCGCCTTCAACGTCGAGGTTGATAGATCTCTCATTCCCAGTAGGAGCGTTGTCTCCAGTCTGATCCTTCTGTTCGTCATTGGCCATCTATTCTTCTTTCTTTCCCACAGACGGCGCCAAATTGTGTGGGTGATTTTCCGACTACACTGCTCTCTTAGTAACCAGCTAGAGAGCACTGGCAGAATAGATGACACCTAGTTGACTTGCAACAGAAATATAAGAATCCCGCGGTGGTTTCGACCACCCGGGGGCACTCCGACGATCAAGTCAGTATATCTCTCAAAGATAAATCAAGTACTAAACTCACAAGCTTGAGTATCAAAAGCATACCTTAGACCCATGGGGGTGCCTCTCTTTTATAGCCAACACAATCCTAGTCCCAAAAGGAGCCTGGCCCTAATGGACTTAGGATTACTGTTAATCTAGGACTCCTAGTGGGATTAGGATAAACTCTCTAAGAGTCTTATCTTTACCCAAACTGAAGCCTTCTCCCAATCTAGGACTCTTGTCCCTTATCCGCTTATCTCGGATTCCGATATCTTCGGAGGCAACCTCGGCCTAGCCGAGATGACCTCGGCACAACGACCAAGACACGTGGCACCTCGGCTGACACGTCGGCGTCACCTTGCCACGTGTTGGTACTAAGAAAATATATCCCCACATTATGTATTGATTTTGGTGTATGGAAATTATAAGTATTAGGGTTTTAAATACATGGCCATTATCAAAATATAGGGAGTATTGGGGTTTCTGGTATGATTGATAATACTGTTCGATATGAAGCTATAAATCTTAGATATCAAGTTTCAATCTCATGATTTTTTAAAATTATCTTTGTAAACTAAAAAAAAAAAAGTTTCATAGCCAGCTCTATCACCTGTGCTTCTTTTGGAGTTTTATTTATTTATTTATTTTAATTAGGCTATTTTTATTTTTAGTTTACCTTTTTCAAAATTATGTTTTCTTTTTTATTTATAGATACCTATCTTAGAAAATTATTATTTTTTTTTTGGGAAAAAACTTGTAGCATAAAATAATTTTGTTACTTGTGGATCCCTATCTTAACAATTAAAATTTTATTATGAAAAACCTTTAGCAAAAACAAAAACAAGCCAATTTTTGTAAGTTTTTTTTTTCTTTATTAATATAGAATTTGGCTTATTTTTAGTTTAGTAAATTTTTTGTTTTAAAATTAACTCAATTTTTTTATTTAGTTTTTTAGAATAATCTAGCCAAGGCTACCTAAAAAGTTTTTTTTTTAAATTACTAAAAAATAAATAATAAATAAATAAATATGAATCAAGAAAGTTTTTTAGTTTCAATAATGATGAACTTCAATTTTTACAATGTGCATTGACTGTAATTTTTGGTATAGATTGATGTTGCAGAGGCAAAGATGAAGGGTGAGATCGGCTCGAAGCAACGAGAAGGGCTAACAACACAAAATGCTGCAAAAATTGACGCAGAGACGAAGATTATAGCGACAAAGAGGCAGGGAGAGGGAAAGAAGGAGGAAGTAAAAGTTAAAACAGAGGTACAAATATTTGAGAACCAAAAGGCGGCTGATGTGGCGGAGGCGAATGCTGAGTTGGAAACGAAGAAGGCGGGTGGGCCCAGTTGACCCAGCTGGCGGAGGTGGAATCGGCTAAGGCGGTGGGCATTGAGGGAGGCTGAGTTGCAGAGGGCGGTGGAAGAGAAGAACGCTTTGACTCAGTTGGAGAAGCTCAAGGCTGAGAATTTGAGCAAGGCTAGCGTGGAGTATGAAATTAAGGTAATTTAATTTAATGTTTTGATTTTATGTTTAATGCAGTTTAATGTTTGATTTAGTATGATTAATGTGATTTGATGCAATTTTATGTTAGGGGTTTTTAGAAAAAATTTGAAATTTTTTATGGGAGATTTATTGGAAAATCCCTTTTCAAGTGTTTGTATTTTAATTAATGCCTAAGATATTCACAAAATCCTAATTCTCATATTTAAAGTATACAAATATTTTTTGAACGGTTAGCAATTTGGTGTGTGAAGGTTTATATTGATAGTGTAAATATTCACATTGACAAGTTAGCATTCACACCACATTGACGGTGTGAACGTTCACATTGACAGTTTGAACATTCACATTGTAAATGTGAATATTATTAAGGTTATTTTGATAATTATGTCACTTATAGAACTTATTTGAATATAAAAAAATAATGTGGATTAAATACAATATTAGGTGAAAGGGATTTGTAAAAAAATGCTCCATTTTTAATGAGAATTGAAAAAAAATAGTTTTGATTGAAAGGCAGCATTTTTTATGCTACCTTTTCAATTTTAACTAACATTTTTAAACTTTTAGGAAACTTTTAGAGATAAAAACAGTGCAATGAAAATCCAAAAAAAAAAAAAGTCAATTAAAGCTCAAAATGGGAAAAGTAAGGAAAAAGAGAGGGGAAAGGAAGAAAAGGAAGAAGAGAGGGAGAAGGAAAAAAAAAAAATTTGATTTTGATTTTGATTTTGATTTTGATTTGAGTTTGGATTCAGAACATAGGAAGTGATTTGAGTTTGGATTCAGAGCAGAGGAAGGAGAGGAAGGAAGAGAGGGGAAGGAAGGAGAGGGAAAAAAAAAAAAAGGTGCCAAAACGACGTCATTTTGGCACCTTGAGCCATTCCGGCCTTGGTAAATTTGAGCTACGAATCGCTGTTGAATTATATTACTCTATTAGTTTTATTTGTTCTATGAATGCTCTATTGCCTAGGGGAAAACAACATAAGTCTTAAGATCTGAATAGTGAATAGTAATCAAGCATTCTTACTTGTTGATTCACATCTAGAAAGTAGCTATTTGGGCCATTTTGGAAAGTCGGCAATGCTTTGCTATCTTACAATCTTAGTACTGACCATCTTAATTCAATGGCAAGATCACAATTTTTTTCATGATTTTTCTTCTAGATGAAGTGGAAAGACCTAAAATGAAAATGTTGTCTAATTAGGTGAAGGATCATCTTTAGTTGTAATGAACATTAAACATAAATTTGTTTCTAGATTAGGTCACCCTCAAATTAGCTGCATGATTTTTTAAATCTCAACCCCATGCCATTACTATTTCGATTCTTCCACCTCAATCTACAAACAAAAGATGAGCCTCGAAGAAAATCTGTTTGTGATTTTTGGTCGTTTGCAACTCTCAGACACTTCCAATGAATCTTCAAACATTTTTGTATTTCAGGTAGGCAGTCAGGGAGGTAGCAGGTTACAGGTGTCCACGGACTATTATTGCCATTCTGAGGTTTCCATATCTCTTCTACCCCATATGCTTTTCTGTTTTTTATGTAGATCTCGAGTAGGATTTCTTTCAGAACAGATGTAGCTTTTGCATCTGGAACTGGCTTAAACGATTCAAGACTTAAAGAACGTCTCAGCAGCCTTTTAGGTATCTTCTGTCAAGTTTTGTGCATGTTTCCTTTATCTTGACTGTGGACATTATGTTTATAAGATTACAAGGGTCTCCTTCTTTATGAAACTTCCTTATAAGTAATACTGGTATAACTTATCAGATGCACAAAAAAACAGGCTGCTTGTTGGTATTGCCAAACAAGAAAGACTGCAGAATTAGATTTGAGGTAAATAACCTCTTTTCAATATGAAAAGAGGCAACCAAAAAATTTTAGCAATATGCCAGGAAGTCATGAAATCTAGAGGACTCCATATAGGATTACATGAAAAACTTCACTTACATTTTTTAAATAACTTGGTGGACAAGTTCAGTGAGGTAGGAAAAAGATCAACTTAATAGACAAAGGAGAGTAAACGAGCATGCTGATAAAAAGAGAGGGGGAATAGACAACTTTGGGAATGATTGTTGTCTAAAAAGACCTAGAATAAAAACTTAAAAGAATTGTTACAGAGATGGGATTCAGGTCAATTCATAACGTTCATTAATTTGATTTAGTAGAGGAAATGAAAGAGTGAAGTTGTTAACACTGTTAAAAGAAGTGAGTGGTGTAGTGCAGTCATTCTCATGAGAGGGTGTGGAGATAAGATGGGTGTGCTGTGATCAAGATTTTAAGTCAATAGGCAATGTGATGATGCCAATGTCATTGACAAGAACTCAGCATAATGGCACCATTTTCTTGACCACGTATCCCAGTGCTCCGACCAAATTTCCCTATTTATTTTAAATTTAAATATTTTTTGAACTTTTTGCTCTTTGTGGAATTGAAATATCTTCTGAATGTAGGATCATATTCCTTTTGCATAAACAAGTTGAACCCCTCCTCCCAAAGTTATATTTCTTTTTTTGGTACGCAATATTACAATCCTTTTTGTATGGACACATTGACTTATACCCCAATTTCTTGTAACTTTGTTTTTTTTGTTTATTTTCAATAGTACAAGCACTTTTTTTCAGCTTTGTAAGTTGTGATAATTTTGCTTCATACTTTTAGGTATCTTATTGATTAGGCAACAAGATGAGAAGGAAAAAGAATTTGATGACAAATTAAAAAAATGCTTTAATTTGGCTGATGAGGTATCCATTCATATGAAATCCTTATATTTTTTGTCATCGTTTTTTGAAATCAAATAACTATATGCAGAATTTTTAAGATCATGGCATGTCTTTGATAGTTTTGTTGCAAGTAACATGTCACTTTAAGCCTAGTCACATTGGTGACTGCAGGAAAATTATACATTTCTTAAGATACAGTTTATTATTATTATTATTGATCAGGTGCAAGCTTGGATTTGAGGAACATATATCTCCATGGTAACAAATCAATAGAAAAAATTTGAGATTAATTAGAATACTTGTTTGTAAGATAAGATTTATTGGTAAATATCCCAAAAAGAATTGCATTAGATTTTTAAAGTGCAACCAATATTACAATATATCATTTTTACTTTGCTAGCAGGTTGAGTTCATTTATTTCACTCCCTGTACTATTGTCGGTCCCATATTCTTCTAATCTTTGTTTTTAGTCACACGGGTAATATTTGATAGAGATGAGACAGAAAGTGAAACAGATGATCGATGGTCGTTTCTCGCTTACTCGTAAAGTGTATGATTGGATAGTCTTGGTGTTGGGATTGCCATGAGAGGCACTCTTTTCTTCAACACAATCCCAAACTTCTCTGAAAGGTCTAATTTCTCTCCCTCGGGCAATTTCCAATCAAATGAGTGCAAAATTGAAGCCAATGAGAACAAGAACATCCTCTCAGCCATGGCTATGCCTGCACACATTCTTCTCCCAGACCCAAATGGGAAATAATTAAAATCAACTCCTCTGGGAGAAGACTGTGTGCAAGGATGTTCTTGTTCTCATTGGCTTCAATTTTGCACTCATTTGATTGGAAATTGCCCGAGGGAGAGAAATTAGACCTTTCAGAGAAGTTTGGGATTGTGTTGAAGAAAAGAGTGCCTCTCATGGCAATCCGAACCGCGCGTTTTGGCCCCCGAACCTTTGTTTTGCATCCGTTTTGGTCCATTTTTGGTAGAGACCTTATTTTCATTGTTAGGGAGGTGGTACGATGATGGCCAGCCACCTATTTCCCTGAAAATCTAGTTTTCTCATTTTCTCTCTCCAAAAGCCGATTTTTCTGACAGAAAGTTGGTTTTTCTCACTTTTGAGCCACATTTTCAGGCTTTTCATACCACCACTGTGTTGTGCTCATCTCGGAGGCCACCAATATGGATAGGTTGGCCAGAAATTCATCTTGACCCTTTTGAACCTTGCTTAAAAGCTAGCTTTTCTCTCTCCTGAGTCACTTTTTCTGGTTTTTTCTCCACACAGCTGTATTCTGCTCATCTAGGAGGCCACCTTTCTGGGTTGGCCGACTAGCAATTTTTGTTGACCCTTTTGACCCCTGGTCGGCCGACCAGGGGGGGTGGCCGGCCGGCCACTTGAACTGGTCGGCCTGCTTCTTGTTTTTTGCTTTTTTTGAGTGTAATCTAACTGTGCCAGCTGGAAGCCATTTGGTGCATCCTCCATACACGTGTATGGAGGATACTTGGGACCTTTTTGGATATTTTGGAGCCTCTCCTCTATAAAGGAGAGGCTTGGCTTCATATCAGCTGGTTGAACAAAATTCCTTAAGGAAAAATCACCTCCCTCCTCCATTGTCACTACTCTAAGCTCCAAAACCCTAACTTTCTTGGTCCATTTGCACTACAACCCTTAGCACCACACCCCCATCATCCATTCCATCACCTTGGAAGTCATTTGTAGAGGTTGAAAGCTCACCAACTTGGTCCACAAGCTGCTGGAAACCTGCTCTTCAAGGGTAAGTGCCTATTTCCCCTAAACTCACATTTTTTTGCATAATTGGTTAGACTTATTTTCAAGCATTTCTGGGCTTCGACCCAAACTGTAAAGTGTCTTATTTTGACCCCATCTTAAACTTTGTTTAAGGGCACTTTGCTGTTTGAGGTCATTTACTTCCCCTTATCCTCTATCTCTCTTTTAGGGCTATTTTTGCATCTTATTTTAGCCTTACTTGTGAGCATTTTAGAGATTTTCTATAAACTGGAAAAAGTATTTTTTTGACATCCTCTTCAAGTTTTGTTAAGGTCCCATTTCCGTTTGGGGTCATCTTCCCCCTATGCATGCTTTATCCCTTCATGATTAAGGCTATGCATTAGAGCACTTGCATTGGCCATGGTTTGGCCTCTTAGCCACTGAAATCTAGTGGATTTTCAGTGGCTTAGATGCATTTTTGAGGGCCAAAATTAGTGGGGGTTGACCCCCTCTCTCCTTGTCTTGTTTGGGGGTCTTTTGGGCCTTCCAAAGGGACCCTATTTTGCATGCCTCGAAGTCTTGTTTCAGGCCTCATTCTGTGAGTTTTTGGGTCTGCCTTGGCTCTGTCCAAGGCCCTTTTAGCCATATTTTATACCTACAATACATGTGTAGAGCAATCCCATCCAAGGCTCTTCAAAGGAGCTTTTCTTTGCATGTTTCCAAGACTGATTTCAGGGCCTATTTGGTGAGTTTTAGGGCTGTCATAATCCATTTACAGAGTTGGTTTTGCCATGCTATGTGTCTATCTTGTATGTGCTTAACAACCCCTTGCAAGGCCCTCCAAAGAAGCCCCTCATTTTTGCATGCATTGGCTGCATTTCAGTGATTATTTGGGCATATTTTGGAATGTTTTATTCACTGTTTTTGGCTGGTTTGATGAGTTCTCATTTGCTTCATATACATGCCATGTAAACCATGCTTGCTAGCCAAATTTGCATGCTATTTTAGTCCATCATGTTAGCATCTTTTGGCCATGCTCTAAACTAGAAATGTGCATTTTTTGGGACTGCCTTGGCTCTGTCTTTTGACTTCATGATCAAATAATGCTTGCTTTGTATACCTGTGGTTCAATACATGTGCCTAGTTTTGAGTTTCGAGGCTTATTCCATGCATCGGGTGTCATATTTTCATGTTTCGGGACCATTTAGCATCATGTTTCAGCGCTGAAAATTACATGTTTGTATGCCATCTTTCATCCCTTGCCATGCTTTGGTAGAGTGGTATTTTATGCCTTAGGTTCGGTGCACGCATTTCGGTTGTCTCTTTTCCATCTCATGGCCACTGATGTGAGTGTGGCTGAGGTCCACTCATGTTGGTGTAAGTCCATCGTGCATTGTGTAAACCATTTCACAGCATTGCGTATGCTAGGTTGCATTTTAGAGCATTGTGTATGCCATGTTACATTACGCGCATTGTGTATGCCATTTTAGTACAGAGCATAGCGTATGCTAGATTGCATGTTAGTCGCATTGTGCATGCCATTCCATTTGCATGGTGTTTGGAATAGGGTTTAGTCCAAGCATGGGAAACGAGGGGCGTTTCGTACTCCAAGTGACGAAACGTGCCTCGATTCCCGGTCCCCGACGCTCTTGATTATCTATGATAGAATTGTTGGCTTCATATGTTCATACTTGCATTCATGTCTTATTAAAATGTGTAATTCGGTCTCTCGGCCATCATGCATCGAGATGCGTGAATGGTAGCTCGAGAAGCGAGGGCTACACTCCCCAGAGATTGTGCAAGGATGGGGAGGAGTGGTCGCACACACATATGTTGAAAATACATTGCTTTCTCTCCTTCTTGCCTTGTTGCAGAAAAACCAGAGTCCAGGGGCAGAAAGTGGTCGGCCGACCGGGTTTTCCGGTAGGTCGACCACCTTTTTTGTTTTTCACCATAAGGGGTGGTCGGTAGGGGGTTTCCAAGCCAATACCTGGTCGGTGGCTTTCCCAAGGTGGAGTTTCAACTTCCTGGAACTTTGTGTAAGTTTCTGAAATCAGCTGCAAACAATGGCGAGACAAGGCATCGCGATGGAATTTACAGACAAAGTGCATCGAGCATGCATGCATCCATTGTCATCCAAAACAGAGCCGGGGCAGTCCATTTGCATGCCAGTTTATAGCTTACTTAGCTAATTTGTTAGTTAGTTAGTGGATGTGTAATAATTAGCTGTATTATTATTTGGACTGTATTATTTATTCGGACCCTCTGAGCAAGGGCACAATTGTAATAAGTGTGCGTGCGTGTGATATATGTCTTCCAACCCCACGTCTTTCTCCCTTTTATTTACCAACTTATGATGGTTAGTTTAGGGCATGTTTCAATTAGCATACTTATGCTTGCATGTTTGCATCATTTATCTGTCTTGCATGTACCGGGTTCGGCGCATCATACTAACTGCATTTGTATTTCAAATTCCAAATGGAATATGTGCTAGCTGTAGCATCATCATATGTCATATTTAGAATAGCCGAGCCTATCTTAGTTGCATTTTGCATGTGTTGCATTAGGCATTTCAGCATAGTTAGGATCATGCATTGATTTCTAACATAGTTTCTATTTTGGCTTGGAGTACTAGGTAAGCTTTTATGCTTTAGCATCCTTGCATGTGTGTGAGTGACTGCCATGATAGCATGCTTACCATGAGGCTATGTGCTTATATGATATACCTGCCTGAATGTCTGTGGGTGAAGGTTGGGTTATCTGAATTGGAACAATTCATTAAATGCGAGTTTTAAGCCTACTTGATAGTGACAAATCATCTTGTTTTCTAAGCCCACCCGAGGGTGGCAAATCTACGTCTTAGCCTACTTGCGAGTAGCACCATCAAACCATTTTCAAATAAACAAACATGAAATGTTTTGTTCCAATTCAGGCGACCCAGTTTATACTTGTATGCTGTACGCATCACGTAGTAAATCTAAGCTAATAACTGGATTAAGAATGCATAATGTTTTCAAAACTAGATATCATGGTTAGTAGAGGCCGATCTTCTGATCGGGCGAGCGGGGATGCTCATAGATGACCTTCCCCAATCTTGCATTAGGCATTTCTGTATAGTTAGGATCATGCATGGATTTCTAACATAGCTTCTGTTTTGGCTTGGAGTACTCGGTATGTTTTATGCTTTAGCATCCTTGCATGTGTGTGAGTGACTGCCATGATAGCATGCTTACCATGAGGCTATGTGCTTATATGATATACCTGCCTGAATGTCTGTGGGTGAAGGTTGGATTATCTGAATTGGAACAATTCATTAAATGCGAGTTTTAAGCCTACTAGATAGTGACAAATCATCTTGTTTTCTAAGCCCACCCGAGGGTGGCAAATCTACGTCTTAGCCTACTTGCGAGTAGCACCATCAAACCATTTTCAAATAAACAAACATGAAATGTTTTGTTCCAATTCAGGCGACCTAGTTTATACTTGTATGCTATACGCATCACGTAGTAAATCTAAGCTAATAACCGGATTAAGAATGCATAATGTTTTCAAAACTCGACATCATGGTTAGTAGAGGCCGATCTTTGATCGGGCCAGTGGGGGTGCTCATGAAGTGACCTTCCCCAATCATACCCAAGTTCCCGAGCCGAAGCAACTTTGGTGATGATGGACACGTGGCCTTGGGCAACGAGTCAGGGTTTCCTAAATTTCCCAAAAATAAAATATTTAGGTGGCGACTCTGTATCTGGCAAAGCAGTCCATGCTTGGCACTTCTTTCAAAAAATCTATTTTAAAAAACGATTTGCCGGATTTGGACTCTTTGATGATTCATCAGTCTTGCATTGCACTCTGCGAGATTAGATACAGGACCGTGACATTGAGTCCTGAACTATAGTGACCCAAAATGAACAACACGGGATTTCCCTCCCGGGACGTTCGGGGACGTCTACAGTTTCTGGCGACTCTGCTAGGGAGTTAGAGAACTTGACTCGAACTCATGATATTCGGTTCTGATTACACTTATGTGTTTCTTTGCATTGCATTTGCATTGGCGCGCCTAGGACATCGTGTTTGCCATCTACTATTCCTGAACGGTTTGCCGGAGGCCAGCTTTGCGAAGCGTGCCATAAGGCTGACCAGTTGCGGGCTCTGCCACGACGGGAACACAAACCCCAGTTTTATCGGGGCACCCGTTTT